GCTTTTTAGCACATATCAAAATGGTTACATCTCAAGGGGGCCCTCAGAGCTTAAGCAACGCCAGAGCAGACCAACCATTGGAGAGAGCAAGTGATTGAGTGTAAGCGAGGCAGATTGAGTAAGGTATTTATGCCAAGTGACGGCGTTGTCACCTCGCCAGCCTCGCTCCCCAAAATGCGCCTCTCATTGACATTGAAATTTTCGCATCTAAATTGCGAGCAGCAAATTGACGATGACGCATTTGCCAACTCCCTCACCAAAAACTGTGTGCGCGTGTGTGTGTGTGTATGTGTATCTGCAGCTATACAAACACAAGCACATATACATACATACATTTCTGTATATATACAGATAAAGAGGACTGCAGGGTTGGCTTCAATTACACTGCAAAATGAAACGAAAAAACCCACCCCCATGGCACAAAAGTCAACCCCCGAAATAAAAGACGCACAGCCACAATCAGACTGGAATATATACTATATACCCACATATACAGAGATATATAAAACTCATATATATGTATATCAATATATATATATAAGAGCCAGCAAAAAGCAAATCCTGCCAAGTTCCGTGAATCCTGTGATTCACCGGTCGCTCCAGCCGTGCCGCATAATTCCACACCTCATGCCAGACGGCTGGCAGGTAGTCATTTAGTCAGTCAGCCAGCTCTTCAGTCACGCAATCCACAGTCATAACCTTCAAGGACATGCTTCTGGCCAATCAAAGGAGCGTGGGCGCCTGTGTCGCCACGAAAGTGATAATCAAAATAAACAAAGATTAACGTTGCATGTGCCTGTTACAGCTGTAATCCCCCTCGCACCCTCCCTCTCCCACTCTTTCCTTCTCTGCCTGTCTCAATGCGGAAGGTGCGCTTAACCTTGAAATTGTTTCTGATGTTGCTTTCGAGGGACAGCACAATGTGGTTGCTGTGAAAATCGATGTTGGCCCAAACCTCTGGCTGCTGCTGCTGCTGCTGCTTTGCATGGCGTATCCTTGATAGCCCCCAAAATAAAAAGGGGTTGTTGCTCTCAGTTCAAGCGCAGGCATTTCACTGGAAGTAATTAATAATTTTGGCACATTTACCTACCAACGGCAGCAACAGCAGGAGCAGTACCAGGTCAAGGTTATCAATTAAAAGCCTCAAACGTTTGTGCGAGGGCTTGCCTAGGCAGTTGAACGACCTTAAGGTAGGCAAAGCTAAGCCAAAGGAGTCATGAAGGGGACACACTCAAAGGGTTCGATGAGCGGCAGCACCTAAAGCGGCCAGCAGGGCGAGCAAGAGCTGATGTTGGGTTTGCAATACATCAAGCGAAGGGTTGCCAAAAGCCTCACAGACAAATACACAGACATACGGACAGACAGACAGACAGACACGCACATTGGGCTCAGCCTAAAAGCAACTTTTTATGGGGCGCCCATTTGCTCATTATGATGACGACGAACTCTACTGCTGCTGCTGCTGCTGCTACTGCTGACAGCGTGGCTGGGCAAAAGGGGGGCGGGGCAGTGTGAGGCAGCAGCAGGGGGGACGACAAATGTGTCATAAAAGGCGCAACAGTCTACAGTCTGCATGTGCGGGCCTTTGATAGGGCTACTCAGCTCCACTTTTTGTGCGCATTTCTGTTATTTCATTTTTTTTTGCTTTGCGCGCGCTCTCGACGGCACCTACCCGAAATCCACTTGGCCTAGGTCAGGTTCCTTAATGCTTTTGTGTATGTGTGTGTGTGCGTGTGTGTCTGTGTGCGTGTGGCCTTTGCGGTTTAGCTTGGCTACCTGTTGCACAGTTTTGTCGCCCTCGGGGCTTTTGAGCCTAAATTGCGTCTCATTATTGTGTCGCAGCTGCTGTCGAGACTTCTTTGTTGGCCTCAATAACAAAATATGAACAACTATGTGTGTGTGTGTGTGTGGATGTAAAAAAACTAATAACTGCAATTAAGTCAACATGCGTTTTCATCTGTCGGCGCTAATAAAGTCGGCAAAAACTAAAAATGTTGCAAACGAAAAAAATTGATTTCAAAATTGATTCAGCTTTGTCTGCTGCTCATAAACTGTCAGCGCCTGGACCCAAGTCCAAGGACCCAGGATGTGAGAGCAACTCGAACAAAAAAGAAGCTCAATGAACAGGAGCCGGAAGCAGCTGGTGACTGCTGATTGCCCATTATGTGTACGTGTGTGTGAGTGTGAGAGAGAGAGCTTCTGTGGTGTGAGTGTGAGTGTGTCTTTGCCTATTTTTGGCTCAATTTCACGCAGCTTTTGTAGGTCGTCGGCCTCGCGCGTCGTCGGTGCTTAGCAACGTCTTCGGCTAACTTGATTATGTATGTGTGAGTGAGTGTATGTGCCTTTGTGTGTGTGTATTGATATTATGTCTAGCCTGCCATATGACAATTACATGCAATTTTAGCTACTCAAGGTTGTTGATAATCGCAGACATTAGTTCAACTTTGTATTTGACTCAAACTTGAATTGATAGCAAATGGAATATGTAGTTAAAATTTATCATCGAGTTCGCCCACCAGAGTTATGTTTATGAAATAGCGTAGTCTATGCTCAGATAACTATTATATGACGAGCTTTCTTAATCAGCAATGGCTTTACTAGTTTGAGTTCATGTTGCTCTAATATAATTATAATAATAGTTTTTTAAGCATTCCTGCCTTCTCTTCCTTCTACTAGAGGTAAAGTGTAAACTTAGAGACGTTAAATTAAATGATTTAAAATGGTATCCACAATTTAAGCCCAAGCCAAAGATGGCTTCAGCCATGAATCAAGATTATTATCAATCAGTTGCTTAGAATAATCTAACAACTACTTAGTCGAGGAGTTGATTCATTTTGTTGTTGAAACTGTTAGTTTTTCATGACGTATCTAATTACAAAATAAGATACATGTGTGCATGTGTACAAATGGAAAGTTAAAAGGTAATCACCGTTTATATTATATTAGGCAACATTTGAATTTACCTTAAAAAGTCTCAGGAATTCTATACATTAAATGTAGGAGGTATTTCAATTTAATTTAAGAGTCTGTCTATCCCAGAGGCCAATATAAATTAAGCTCTGCTACTTTCCTTCTCCACTTCTCCATGCTCATTTTAGTTGGCATGTTTTGGGCCCAACTGTACACTGAGAATGCTGCACAATATCAATTTCCAGAAAAAGCCAGCAAATCACCTCAGTAACTCTTAGCTGAACTAAATTTAGACTAACAGCCCCTCAGTCCCATTTACATGCCAGTGTGTGTGTGTGTGCGTGTGTAATGCTTACCAAAATCCAAGCCTATGTGACATCGACAAGATGTCGTCTTTGTCGTCATTGCTGCTGTCATCTCATGGGGCTGCAACTGCGACTGCGTCTGCGTCTGCGTTTACGTTTGCGTCTGCGTCTGAGACTGGGAGCATGGCACGCTTGCAGCTTGCATTAAAATAATTGCTTCCGAAATGACAACTGCTACTAAAAGTGGATGTGGATGTGTATATGGATGTGGCTGTAGATATAGATGTGACTGCCCAAGATATGCGCAGCCCCTGACGAAGCTGTTCATGGTGATGTGCCAGCAACATGTGCTCCCTCTGCTTGGGCTGCGATGTATGCGCGCCTGCGCGTGCCAACGGCACAGTCTTCAGCATCTTACGGCATCTTGCCCCATCTACATCTGCCAGGCGTTGCTTATTTACCGTTAAGGCGCAGCCGTCTGTCACTCAGAGCAGCCTCAGCGACAAGGGCATTCCAGCAGCACTCCTGCGAAGCATCCGCGTCCATTTCCATTTCCACAAAACACTGCGCTGCCATTACTGCCTGCTGCAGTACCCCATACATATCGCCATCCGCACTCGCATCCCCATCTTCATCTTCATCTCCCCTACCCTGCCTGCCAGCCACTGCAGCAGTTGGCGCTCGTCTGGGTCCATATGTCGCGTCCGTCTGCTGCATCTATTTTTGGATGCTGCGTCGCGCCTGCGCACATAAGATGCCTGTGCGTGTACCAGTGTGTGTGTGGAGGCGAGCACTAGGTTTTCATTTGGATTTTCAATTTTCCGCTTACCGTTCACAGTTATGTGTGTTCCCAGCACTTTGCTTAATGGTTCCTGTGCGTCGAAGCACTTTAAGACGCAGCCGCGTCTGAGACTCGAAGAATTATATTTATGACTTTTCGCCGGAAATAGATGCCGAGTGAGGTTTTATAAGTATATGACTGCTATAAGTCGCGGAATAAAATATGTGCAGCATTTGTCATGTCTATTGGAATTATCGGAGGCTCATCTTACAGTGAAAATATTTTCTACTTGATACTAGACAGTTTAATTAAGGGTGTCTCTAATTGAGTGCTTGGGTCAATGACATCATTTTTGTGGTTATTTCGTTTTTGAACTTTAAGATATTTGAATTTTTTCGTATTTTCGACAATTTGAATGCTCAAAAAGTGTATTCACGAATTAAATTAGTGTAAAAGTCGTACTAAATAAAAACGCGTCAAAAATGCAAGCAGTTGTCGAAAATCGCGAGCAAATCGCGTGCGTTAACAATTTCATATGCGCTAACAGCTGCTTGTGTACTGCTTGCTTTACACTGCTTACGATAATCACAAATGTTTTGTTCACTGCTTTAAAAATACCAAATACAAAGTTTCAACGCATGCAGTTCTGGGAAGCAGTGTTTCTGTTCAGTACGGTTCACTGCATTGGTTTGTGTCTGGGCTATTTCGATCTGAACACATTTCACAATTCATAAGGTTTTGAAGTAATGAATAGTAAAATTAAAATTAAATAAATAGTTTTGAATTATGCACGCAAGTACTTATTAATCTATTTAAAACACATTAAGGAATCATATGATAATCCAGAAATAATAATTAATAAGGGGAGTTCATGCAAAGACGTTGATTAGTTAGTAGCCCGCTCCATGCAAAGCACATTTGAGGTCTTTAGCAGTCCTCATTACTCCTTCGAGATAATCAAGTAACTTACGGAAACTTTTCGCTCTTATTTATTTAATTTTCAGATCGTTTACGGCGCCGACGGCCAACCCGTTCGTGCTGATGCGAAGCGCGGACGCGGCAAGGGCAAAGCAACTGGCGCCAATGCCGTCGTCGCCAATGCCACAGCAGTAGCCGCTGGCAATGGAACACCAACAACTGGGGTAAGTGCATCCATCTGTTTCGCTACCTCAAACGCCTTCGGCTGCTTGACTTTTTATTACGCCAAGCCTTTGTCACAATCGCACAATACACAGTCAAGCAAGCTAATTAAGTCACGCGGTAGACAGCTTGTCTGCGGTTGAGCAGACGAAGTCTCAGTCTCAGTCCCAATGGCAATCCCAGACCCAGACCCAGACCCAGACCCAAACGCTGACTCAGTCTGTAGACCCATTTTGAGTGGCAGTCGCGGCATGCGGCAACATTTTCCACGTCATCACGCCGGGGCATCCGCATTGTTTGCGCAGGCAAATGGGCAACAGGCTTTCGGTCTGTTGCTCCCCTCTATTAAGCGGCAGTATAATCCATCCACCACGCGTTGCACGTAGCAGACTCGCATAGTCAGTGACAAGCGTCGGGTCAACCATTTGTGCCGTTCTCTCTGGCACCAGCTTCAAAGCACACTGAGGGCGAAAAAAAACGCAAAAGAGCAGGCAAAGTTACACTCCCAAAGGCTGCCGCCGACGCCGCAGCTAAAATCGCAACATGCCGCACGTAGCAAGACCCAAACAGAGTCAGCGGCACAGGCAGCAGCAGACACAGACACAGACACAGACAGAGAGTCCCAGACCCGGTCGGTCTAGCTACTTACGAGCATTGTTTGTCGAAGAGGAGGGTCTGTCTGCGACTGGGGAATCGGCGGACCGTTGGGCACTCGCTCCCAGCTAAACAGGGTCAGAAGCTGACATTGGCTTTGGCTTTGACCTTAGCCCTGGCTTTGACACGCAACTGCCGGGCTGTCTAGCTGGCGACTTGCCTTTTCCCTTTCAAGGTCGTGGCTCGTAAAAAGTTGTCTAATTTAATAGTCATTCACACACTTCCTGACTAAGCCGCAGCCCACAGCCCACAGCCCGCAGCGATTCTCAGTTGCCTTTTTATTCTATAATTGGGCTGTCATCAGTTCGCTTTCTTCAAAGAGTTCGTCCACGGAAAACTCTGTGATTTGCGCAATTATATTTACCAGTAATCAAAAGACATATAAAAATATAAATAATATATGATTAATATAACTATTAAATATATACAAAAATGTATTATACTCTTATATATATATATATATCCCAACAAATCAAGGATCTTTGAAAGCTCATTCCTAGCTCATAAGATAATAAAATGTAGTCCCAGACTTGTGTCTGTTGTCTGTGTGTGAGCTATATTTATCCAAGAAATAGCTTGCTGGGGCATTCAGCCCAAGGATTCAATTGAATCAGCTTCCCTTACGGCGATTAATGCTCCTTGAATGCCTGGAGTTGTTGTCGCCGCCATCTGCCTTCGCCTCCGCCTCCGCCTCCGCCACTTGATGCTCGTAAAAAGTTAACCAAACTTGAGAGTCATTCGCCGACTTCATCGTCGTCACATCCTGTGCTGTTGTCCTTGTGCGGCATGTTGCATGCCACACCCCATTGCTGGTGCTGCTTTAATCTGGCGATTTGTCTTGTAAAACGGCAACGGCAACGGCAACAGCTGTCTTTATGTCCACATTCGCATCCCGGGTGCCCCGTCAATGAAGCGTTGATTATGTCGTCATGGCTACACACACACACACACACACACAGACAGTTATACTATCCGGCGAGCGCACAGACAGAGTCGGGCAACAACTTGACATTCCTTGGCAAGCCCATAAAAACGCAGACAAGCAACGATGGCAACTGGCGGCATGCGGCATGCCACATCCTTAGTCGTAGCCAAATCACGTTGCTCCATAAAATGGCAAAAGTGAGCAACAAGTCGCACTGTTTCTTGACTCTGCCTTCGACTGACTGCGTGCCTCCTAACACTGCGGCGCTTGACATTGAACTGGCAACGGGCAACTGGCGCGGCGGCAGCTTCTTTAAGTTTGGCTGCGGTTTGCCTTTGAATTAGTCCCCAGCACTTGGTCCCCGACTTGGCTGCGACTTGCTCTCCACTTGGTCTTTCCTTCAGTTTCGCACTTGGGTCTCGTTCTCGTTCTCGTTCTCGTTCTCGTTCTCGCTCTAGTCTATTGCCAGTTGGCAGCCCGTTGGCATTTTGTGTGCCGCTGCATCTGTTGCTGCTGTCTTTCCGGCAACAGTTGCAAAGTTTGTCCATGTTGGCGTTGTTGTTGCAGCCTTTTGTTGCCTGCCTGACTGGGTGAAAGTGAAGTTTCGTATCGTTGTCGCTGGCTGTCCCAGTGACCAGCAACAGCTGCCAATGTTGCCTGCCATCGCGTCGCCGAAAATTCAGGTCGCATTGCATTGACATTGCCATCTCGTGACCTTTATCGCCTGCAAAAAAGCAACTGGAGAGCAAAAACATGAAATGGCCATGCGGGATTTGCCAAGGACAACGCCAAAAGCGTCGCTTCCCCATTTGGCAGCAGCTCCAACTCCAACTATCGAACACTCGCATACAACGTGCAACGTGCAACGCGCATTCATGGTTGCAAGCATTTTTGGCAAGCGCAGCGGCTATTGTTCATGTCCGTGTCGGCCTTTGTTGGCCCAATCCCGTTGCCAATCCTGTTCTCGGTCCATGGCCATGGCTCTTGCCACTGCCACAGCCAATGTTGCTTGTGGCAGCCTGCCACTTGTTGCCGCCGTGTCATGCAATCTGCATATGTATGTAGGCTGTCCCTAATGGACAGGACGGTGCTATCGTTGACCTACACTGTCCAGCAAGAACTCGCTCAAGCACTTATTGCTCTCTTCCTCTTGCTTGCTTTATTGGTGTGTGCAACTAGTAATCGTAGCTCGAGCAGAATGTCTACAATGAGCACAAATATAAACACGATTTAATCATGAAATTCATAACAAGAACTTTGAGATTTTAATGTTAAGAATCAGTCAAAAGAGCCAATGGCTGCCAGGACAAGCACTCGAGGGGCCTGCAGAGGATGTTTGTTGCCGTGAGACTGTGCTCTTTAGGCAGCAGAAGCAGGTGCTAGATCACTTGGAACTCATCGATTAGCTTTTGAAGCTCATTTAGAAAATATTCCCCGAATTAAGGCATTGTCTAAAGACAGAATTTGCAGCTTTGATCCACGACATCTTTAAAACTCATGTCCAACACAGCAAACACAGCTAAATAAAGTATTCAAAGACTAGTTGAGCGCGTCTGTTCCGAGAGCGGATTTCAAGTGCTTGCCTAGTTTTGTTGCACAGTGTAAGCTGCAGCATTTAAGGCAACACCCACGCCCACAATGCTGGCGCTCAGTGAAAATAACAGAATTCGTATTTTTTCTGCTTGTGTTCAGACACGCCAAATGCAAAATGCAGCTGCGGCGCGTCGTTGGCGGCAATTAGTCAACTCGCACACACAGATGTGGGGCGATGCAATCAGCTGTCACAATGTTTGGACAGGGAGCCGTGGCAGTGCCCCCCAGGGTGGCCATGGCCGTGGCACACACACGTAGTGTGGCCCGCGTGGCCCGCGTGGCACATGTGGCAAGCTCCACTTGAATGTAAGCCGCACGCTGCACTTAACGTCTAATTAGGCGCCGCTGAAAAGCCACTCAACGGGTTGCTGCCACACAGTGTCAAGCCATGTCCGCGACTTGGCCACACCTTGGCCATCAGTCAAAACACACAAAAAGCATACGAAGCAGCAGTAAAAAACGAAACGAAAGCGAATACGAAAAGAAACAGAAAAACGGCAGCAGCACATAAATGGGCAACATGCTGAACATGTCGGCGCCATGGCGGCTACCTCAGTAGCCGGCAGCGAGCCACCACGAGGCACCACCAACCGTGACAGGGACTGTGATTGCGGCTACCAAACGGCGGCAGCAGCAGACGACGACAGGCGACTCCTACGTGCAACTGCGACGGCGATGCCATGGCTATGATATCCAAAGAGCTTACAAGCGGCTCGTAAAAAACAGCAGACCCAGGCCAGACCAGGCCAGACCAGGCCAGGCCAGGCCAACTGCCAGTTGGCAACCGGCAACAGGCAACAGGCAGACAATTTGTCGTCCACAGCAGCACTTGGCACCACTTCTGATGTCCCAAACTGAAACGTAATCGAGACGCGACCAGGGGCAAGCCAGAAGGCAGACTTTTGGCACACGCTGCACGTGAGGAGTTCCCAGTTGCCAGTTGCCAGCTTGTTGCGGTTTATTTTTATGAGCGAGTGGCCAAGAGGGACGCAGGGCATAGCTGCTGCTGTATGTATGTGGTACTTAAGCCGGAACAATGAAAGCGCTGTTAAGGCCACGCAACGGGCAACTGGCAACTGGCAACGGGCAGCAACAGCTGTCGACTCTTGGCTTGTTCACTTTTGGTTCTGTGTGTCTGTGTGTGCATGGCTGGGCCACGTCAAAGCGGCCCTCAGGCGGCCTCGCGCTGTCTGCTGCCAATTCAATTGAAATCTGACCAAGCCAAAAAGCGCGGCAGCCAACCAACAGCAACAGCAACAACAACAACAACAGGAGCGAAACAATTTGCCACGGGATCCATTTCAATGTCAAGGCTCTGCGTGAACAAAAGTCAAGTTCAAGGTCTATGCCCGCGGCTCAGTGGGCCAAGGTCAGGCGAAAAAAGCGGAAAAAACGAGCGCCTCATCTAATAATGAGCAGCAGCAGAAAAAAAAGGTCATTGCGCTTCATTATGTCCGGGCGGCATTAACCCTTGCCTGCCACGCGCACGCACTTGACCCTTTTGCCAGCCCGAAGCAAAGAAAGAGAGACAGAGCCGAGCGTGAGGGGAGACAGCGCGGCCTACAGGATGTTTATAATAAAAAGGCAGGCGATTTGCTGCCGCTCGAATATCCTTGGGCTATAGGCAAAGGCAAAGTCTGTGCCTAGTCTCGGCTGCTGACTTTCGTTTCCCCAAATTTGTATATATATAACTTTTTTTATTTTTGCTGTTATCCTTTTTGGGCTGGCAAGTGTCGTCAACCTTTTGTCAGAGTCAGCGTCCCTTTTTGGTTTTTTTTCCGACTTTCGCCTGCTGCGTTATCAACTGTTGCTGCTGAGTCAAGGACCTGT